CATTTGTTTATGTCTAGATACCCCTTTTTCAGATAAATTGGGGGTCCAGGGGGTGGGGGCATTGATAGGTGAGCCTGATGGATAGAGCTTCATCAGAGCTAAACAACAAAAGAAATCTGAAGCTCCTTTGTTGAACAGTTTCTGAGTTATAAGCATCAACTAAATATTTAGCGCAGCTCACTGACATTATAAAAGGCATAAAATCAAAAGAGTTTGTGATTCTTGGTGATATTAGTATGAATTGGGCTGATAAAACTTCCAAAGGCCTGAAAGCAATGTCTATAAACTTAGGGCTTCAACAGTTAATTAAAGTACCAACAAGATTTGGCAAGACATGCAATTCCATTTTGGATCTTATTTTCACAAATCGATCCTCCATATATGGCATATCTGGAGTTATAAATACTTCAATCTCGGATCATTCACTTATTTAAAGTTTGGTGATTTTGTCTAAGAAAAGAAAATCCTTTCTGGGTACTGATTTTTGAGACTGATAAATAATATTTTATTCATGAAAATTTTTCACTCTTTTCTTGTTTTAAATAAATAAAMAGACGTGAGTGGTGTTCCTCGAGGTGATAGTAAAATTAATGTTTTAATAATTCATATTTTATCATAACTTACATGTACCCATCTGTTAAGGTACAGAAGAGTCTTAGGGAAGCAAAATATGGCACAAAAAGATTGTTGAGAACAAAGAGCAGAGCAGCATCATGACTGCCATCAAACTAAAGGAGGTTACACATGTTCTGCATCCAGATCCAACAGGTCACCAACCAATGCAGATACATTTGTTGGTACAGCTCACTGAAACAACTCTTTATTTCTAATGAAAAGTGATTCAGWTAAAAGTGTAAGGGTCAGGGCTTGGGCAGCCTACCTGTTTATGTCAGATGTGAACATAAACCTATAATCTTGTTTCTTTTGTCGTCATAATACGTGGTACTTGGACAGTGTAGTCATTTTAGTAGTAGTACTTGTACAATTGGGAGAATKTCTGGTCTAATGTGTATTTGAATGCTTTAGTGTGTGAAAGAGTGAACAAAATACTGCAAAAACAAAATAAAAAAAGACTTYTGGAAGAGAGGATTACCGTATTTTTCGGACTATAAGCTGCGACTTTTTTCCTGAACTTTGAACCATGCGGCTTATAGTCCGGTGCAGCTTATATGTTAATGTTCATGGTTTTTTTTTTTAAAAAAAATGGAGGGTACGGCTTATAGTCTGAAAAATACGGTAATATTTTCCATGTTTCAAACTTCTTATTGTGTAACTGCCTTTATTATCACAGGTGCCTTCAAGCTTTCCATCAGCCAGTCAGGCTTTTTAACGGGAACACACAACCACTGAGTAGTTTGGTTGTGTTCACCAAACTGACCAAGGAGCAGAGAAAACAAAGGCCAGAGATATCTGAGGAGCTCAGAAAGAAAATGATAGATATTCATATTAAAGATAAAGATTACAAGACCATCTCCAATCAGTTTCAAGCCCCTTGGACCACAGCTGACAAGAAGGTCAATATGACTGTAGTCAACCTCCCAAAACCTGGAGGCAAGAGGAAATGCATGCCCAGCTTGATCAGAGGAATAACTTGGATTAAATAAATAAATAAATAAAGWCCAACCAAAACCATTAATGTGAACTCTGAGGTCACAAAATATCATTTTCTCATGGCACCATCCAAAAAATACAACGAGCCAGACAAAAAATTCACCAAAATGTATGTCAACAAGAATACAAACTTCTGGGACTGAGCTTTTAGTCCATTCACACTGGTTGTGTGTGTGTTTCTTATGTTTTTGTGGAAATGAACCTGTGTGTGCAGATGGTGGTGAGTGTAGGGGGTCATTACGCTGTGTAGAAGTAATGCTAACTGAAAAAGACAACTTGGATATTTATTAGACATTTGTATAAAGTTGTGAATGAAAATGATGCAAAGTTAGACTTTAAATTAGCTTGAAACTAATTTGAACTGTTTTAAACAGAAATCTAAATAAACTGATTGAGAAGTAGTGAGAAATCCACACATGCACCAGAGTGTTACATACACAGAGGTACAAAGTAACTTRATTTGTGCCATTGTAACTGAGTCATGTTTTTGTGTACTTTGTACTTCTAAAATCAGAGTTTAAAATCTGTACTTTACTCTGAAAATTATGTTTGTTTCTAAACACCCAAACGTACTCTGGATATCAAAATACAGCTGTTGAATAAGCAAATAAAAAAAGAAAATAAAACGAAGCAGCCACAGCTCCATCATGTAGAGAGAAAATCAAATGATGAAGGAGGAGAAAAAGAAGTTGAATGAAGCAAAGATGAGAAAAGAGTACAGTACCTTTGACTCTAATGTCCGGATTGTGAGCTTTGTGAAAGGTGAAACAAGCGGGACAGAGAAGAAGAGAGAGCATTTCGTTAGGAACACAGYCAGCAGACACAAGAGAAAACTATTAAACTAGTTTCTGAGACGAAACGAGAAGGAAAAAAATCAAATCAATGCCACTTTTATTAGAAACTGAAATTCATTTTCTGCTCCAACAAAAGTCACAACTGCTGTTTGTCTTCTGTGAATATTTAAACAGAGCTTTATTTAATGTAACATTTAAATAAAGACATTAACATAAACAAATATAAATTACATTAAATGAATAAAACATATTTATACTGATAGTTTTATAAACTTGTAAGTGTTTTCTCTCTATACTCTGTTTTATCCAAATCATTTCTTATTGTTTGACATTTGATGGGAGTCACAGAGGGATTAAAAAGTATTTTCTTATCTCTGAACTAAACTAACAATTACACAAAGTCTGTAATACTTTTACTGTTACTGATCAGTGAAATCTGATCAAATATGCAGACGTTGTTTAGGATTTCCATCTGAAATTTAATGCTCATGTTAAAAATGTATTGTTAGATAGTTTTCTYTTTATTCCACTGTGTTTATAAAGTCAATTTGTTCAGGTGATTTTTGAGGCTTTTTTATTTAGAAATGTGTCTGAGGTGGAAGTGATGTAATGCACTCTTCCTCTATCGCTGTAATGACCTGCGACAGTAAATGTCTGTGATTTTTGATCATTTTTCTTCGTAAATATTGATATTTAAGTTGTATAAACTTTATTATACCGATTTATATTGTTTTTTAATATTATTGTGATATTTAATTGTCATTTTGACGATAGAAATAAATTTTAAAGGACTTTGATTTTTCTCTTTGGAAGCTGGTCCAATAATCTCAGTCTAGTGCGCCGTCTTGTGGTCAAAGCCTGAAATACAAATAGTTTGCCTTCGTCTCACTCTTTACCTTCGCTGTGTGCACAGAAGTGCTGAAAAGGGGGAGTCAGGTGCTTCATTTATTGTCCTCTGTAGTTATTAAGCATTTTCCTGTCACATAAAATACTGTTTGTAGTTCTTTATACTCTGGATTGTCAATCAGGTGACACTACTGCWCTTCCAATTGTATTTTATGTCTGCTATTGTGACACAGTAATTTCCCTCACAGCTAAATTAATTAAACATACATTCATTAAAACTAATCTTATCTGACCCCGCAGCCTGGAACAAATTACTGAACTGAAACTAGTAAAACTCGTCTCGCTGAGATCCTTCATTTCAACCCTGACAGATCCTGTGATGGCTGCATATGTCTGTCTTAAACACTATTTATCCACTGTAGGCATGGGACAGTATTAAATGATGACGGTATCATAACC